TTATAGGCTGTCAAATAAGGTTCGTTGTCATATTTTAGCAAGAAAAGACGTTGTAACACCGGGCTATTTGGCCAGTTGTCATTTTTGAAAAAAAGACAGCCTAAGAAAAGCCTAAAAAAAGACATCGTAACAAATGGACTAAGATAGATAAGTAAGGATTCCATAGCGTGAGCGAAAGGCTACCTGTATGTCTACGGTTTCCCAGACAGCATATACAACGATATCTCCCCTAGTGGGTAACAGGCTCAACAAGGCAGTTTTTCTTTTCAGCGGCGGCGTTGTCTCGAAATTGCCTGTATGCTGTGTGCCTAATTGTTATTTCGTGCAAGTGCAGTGCCGTCCACAACACTCACGCAATAGCAAAACAAACATGCGAGCTTGGGACTTGCAATGCTGACGGTATTCGTCCGCTTGCTTTCAACAACTGCAGGAAAATAAACCTGAACGCAACCTACACAGCGTAAAACGGCTGAAGCACTGCCCGTTCGGTCATCTACACGTCGAGTCACTGTCAAACCCCTACTTGATGTACTGTACCTGCCATTGGTGCACTCAGGAAATAGCAGTTGCTGTTGCAGTTGGTGCCTCCGCGTCTAGCACGCCGTACCGTACGCTAGTATTGGTAAATTCCTCCGAGATGCGCGAACAGAGGCAGAATAGCGGAGCTGTGTACAGGAGATACAATTGTAGTGTGCGCCATCCAACGGCGGTTGGTCTTCTTGAAAAAGAAAAGCACCGTCTTGCGTGAATGACCGAAACAACTTCTCGTCCTCACCCTTTTTGTCGACTCTTGGAGTGTTCGCGTCGGCCATGTGTGCACGTGGTGGGAGGGGAGAGCCAGTCAAGAATCGCGACTCCGCGAACGTGTGTTGCTGCTGTGCCCTTGGTGCCGTGCCGTAGTGGTTCAGAACCAAAATGCCATCCCGTAGTTCATCCGTTCTCAGAGGACCTCTGCAAACACTATTCAAGAGAGTAAACAAAGGATCCCATCAACATCAGATTGCGTTCAATCCAATCCATGTCGATCGACAACCCTTCTCATACCAAAAAACAAGAAGTGTGAGGCCCGCGAGGAGTGTGTGTAGCCTGGTGGAATCATAAATCACACGTGTTGCCGCCTAGACTACAGCAGTAAATTGAAAAGAGAAGAAAGGGTACAACGCATTGTATGTAGCCTAGGTTTTACCCCCTCCCCACCTCGACTTGACCCAGTTATTTCGCTACCCCGTGCTCCTCACGCAGACCTCGATGTGGCACCAAAGTACACGGGCACCTCAAGCAGGTCATACACTCCATCGGAAACCGCGTCTACTGTCTGAACCTCCGAAGTCATAGTCAATACCCAAGCAATGGAGTAAGCACACAACGGATCTAAACGGCGCTGGCCGGAGAAACAGGGTGAACCAAACCTGAGAAAAAATGGTGTGTGTGCGTCATTGCATGTGGTCAACGCATAGATGATGTGCACGATTTGGGATCAGCACTACAGCGAGAGTTGTAGCAGAATAGCTAAAAGTCCCTCGCGGAAAGACTGCCCCCGGATGTGATTCCACGATTTGTCTAAAAATCGTAAATACGATGTAAACCATCACGCACCGCCAAAACCACCAACAACAACACAAACAAGGATACCAACCTCTGTATTTCCGTGTCAGAATTTTTGGGCACGAGCACGTCACGACCACAGCCACGGACACGGCTCCCACGCTCACGAGGATCACGACGAGGAGGAAGGGCTGGTGTCTCCGGCGAAGCTTGGAGAGGTGACCGTTTTATTGTCTTGTCGATCAGCTGGACGGGTGTGGTTGGTCATGTGGGGATGGGCCATGTCGCGTGCCACACGAAACGCCCTACAACATGATGAAGAGAATCGGTTACAGCAGCAATCACGTGTGGAGAGAAATTTTGCGATCGACGGCTGTGCGTGCTCCTGCCTACACCCAAAACAGCAGGCACCGGCGAGCGAGCCTTTCTCGGCAACAACCACAGAGTCAACAGCAGCAGCAGTAGCATCAACACAGTGGCTTGGGAGACGTGGGCCCACCGTTGAACACTATTAGCAGCAGCAGCAGTGGTGCTTCCAGCATGGCGGGGGGCCAGGACGAATACGGGAATCAGCAGGGGGAGACGGGGGGGCGACGGCGGCAGTCGACAGGGTGAGGACTGGAGGAGTGGACCGTTTCCCGGAGGTTAGAGCTGGGGTGGGAGAGGAAGTGGGGAGTGAGACTATGGTGAAGCTGAAGGAGAAGAACATCAACATGGAGGCGGCCGTGTTACTCGCGGTTACGGACTTGGAAAATTGTTGCTGTTCAACCTTGGTGCCGACACGGAGGAAGCGAAGGAGACACAGAGGGAGAGAGAGTTTTCTCTTCCCCCTCGAGAGCAGAGTCGAGCGAACGTCTAGGAGTTTTTGATGTGGTGTCCCGCGTGAACAGACGCTTTAATTGTGCCGCCATGTTGCCCTAGCACCAGAAGAAACTCTGGCTTCGATTCACCGAAAATCTACAAGCAACCGAGTTGAGTCTCGGCCATGAGCGCGGTATCACGTTGTCTGCGGTGGCCAGTTTTTTGTAGTTGGGTTTGTTGCAGGTTCCTCAGGGACGGGGGGGACTGTGTGAGCTGGGGGGCCAGATGCGTACACATGAGAGACAGTCGTCTCTACATACTGTACGTCGGTAGTAGCCGAAGGATTGGTGGAGGTTTCCAAATCCCAAATCCGCCCCTGGAGTATAGACTAGTACGAGAAAAGTTTTTTCGTGACAATCTTAATTGCATGAGGTGTGTATTCATTGATTTTCGAAGCGACCTACTGTAGCGACTGCATGCAAATGGTTTGCGACGACAGCCTTTGATTCACCAGATATATGTACTCAACGAGTATTGGCGTCAGTAGCGTACTCGGGCAATCTGACCTTGTTGATCAAGCCACCACCCCATTGACTTGACAAGCTCACCCTTCAGAACTTTCTCCTTTCGCCTCTCAGTCCATGTGACGACCTCACCTTACGGACATTCCTCGTTCATGTGATGAGCTCACCCTTTTAGAAGTTTCTCCTCTTTTTTTATCTCGGTACATATGAGCTCACCCTAGGGCTTTTTTGTTTTTGTTCTCGGCATAGACTATATGACGAGCTCACCCTTTTAAAGTTTCCCTCTTTTTCGCTCTCGGTGATCAACTTGTTCGTGCAGCCCTGCGCGCACGAATCATGTGGACGGCGCCATTCGTTCTCTTTGAGTAATGGAGAGGAGGGAGCCTTCATCTTACAGTGGGTGTTTGTTGACAACGACTGTTTCGTATATGTGTTTTGCGAGAGTGGGTGTGTTACTCGCTCCCCCGGCCCGCGAAAAACCGGCATATCGCTCCGTCCTGGCATTGCCAGGATGCGAGGGCAACGGTCGGACGACTACGGCGTGCGGTACATGAGTACCATACCCCCGGTGTAGTTCTGTCGTGCGGAATGCCAAGTGTTCGCGTCGCGCGTCGAAAGTAGTCACCGGGTTGTTGAGCAGAAGGAAGCGCAGCGTGGTGTGTCAACAGTTCCCGCTACCTCAGCATGTCGCAGAGGGGAAGGCAAAGAAAGGCCCACGCAAGGGTCGTTTTATCTGACAATTTGTTGTTGTTGTGTTCCAGAAATGTTGATTTGTGTTGATTTGTTAGAGGGAAAGGGAGCGAGCTTCGCGCTTCGCTCCTCCCCCCCGCCTCTCCGTGGTGTGTGGTTGTGAATTATTGTCGGGTTTTATCGCCGGGGCTGGTGATGGCGTTTTTGCTCGTTAGAGGGATTGTGAAATACCATATGCATATCTTGCTTGTCGAATCGGACCGGGTCGTATGTCGAGGAGAGAAGAAAAGGCTAGGGAGCGTACCTACCCGCAGGTAGGCACTCGTGGTATATCAGGCCGTTCGGAGTTTTTTCGTTTGACTGTGGGGTTTTGGCCTTGACGGGAGCCTGATTTTCTCACTCGTCGTGGAGAACGACATGTTGTCTGCTGCGGACGGTCTCGTACAGTACGTTGCCTGTGCGGCACAACATTCCTGTCTGAGGCGATGAGGTTTTGTGTGCACCGTATTTTAGATAGAAATTATACGTATGACGGCAATCAAGTTTGAGATCGTACCCCGACTGAAGGGATGCGTTAAGTCTTCACAGCAGGGCACAGCAAAGATCGACAGAATGCCCCAATTGAAGGGATGTGGCGAAGTCTTTACAACAGTGTTGAGAAGCACCATTTTGTTTGTTGAAGTGTGATGAAGCCGCCCACGGTCAGCACTCTGACCGTAGGCGGTGGGTGTGTCCCTCACACCGTCAGGTCGACATATTCATGTCACCAACAGAGGTGTGCGTGTGCAAGGTTCGACGACGGCGTCCGGGAAACAGCGCCCCTCGTATCTGAAGGGGACTGCCTTTGCGAGAAATCCGGTCCATGAGGAAATAGAAGGAACAGGGTGCGCAGAATCGATAAACCTGACCCTATCCCAAGTTCCCCGATCGCATGCTTTATCCAACATGCTCTCTTAGGCGATAAACACTGCGAAGGCTACTGGAACTTTGCAAAGGTTAATGGCTGAACGAGGCATTTCGCGAGATATCTGAATGAGGAGGCATGTGTTCCTGCGATTCTTGCTTACCGTGGTTCTTTTTCGAACTCTCGGTTCGTTTCACATTCGCTGCACGATCTTGTCGGCATCTATGTACGGTTGCGTTCCCGTCGAGTGATTCAAGATGGGAACTCGCTGGACTACGTGAGGACGCCCGCGAAATAATCTCGTCACGGTGAGATCGGTCGATTTCTCGTCGGCTGATCGCACTAGGATAACCTTACCGGTGCATACATTGGGAGCCAATCGGATGGAAACCGTAGGCGCGGAACACTACAGCATCAGCTGCAGAGCCCGTTGTCACTTCTCTCTTCCAACAACAGAGCCACTCTCGAAAGAACGGAAAGGGCGTCATTTCTTCCCGCTGGTGAGCCGGTAGAACTCCAGTTTCTCGACTACAAACGCTACGTTGCGTATTAGTCTCTCGATCGTGGATAGTTGCTAGATGGATTCAGAGAGTGATTTTTTGACCTCGGCCACCGGCATGGACAAGAAGAAGCCTTGTTTCCGCCCACACTGTCTTCGCTATCGGCCGCAGAGCAGGAGCGGAGCGCTGATACCATGCCCGACCCGTGCAGCCGCGCCGGCGCGGGCAGACGTAACCCAAGACCCTATGTGCGAGCCATCACGGGAGGGTCCCGAGGCGAGCCCCCGCGTGGAACGTGGGCGTAGATGGCAGAGCCAGGTTCGTACGGCGTCACACTCGTTTCTGGGAACAGGTTTTCCTAAAGCAACACCCTCACAAAAAAGGGGTCATACTTGTTTGCGGATCGGGGTGGGTCTTCCGGACTTCCTTCGTGTACCGTACCAGGGGCCGTTGGATGTCCTGTCGTGGAACCCTGATCGCATCCCGGGCAACGTCCACGAACTGTGTTCCCTCCAAGATCGAGAGCTTCGTTGCCATAGAATTTTATTCCCGCTTTGATCGTAAGTGCGTCGTCGAATGGGACGACGTGCGGAGGTAGCCCCGCACGCCCGCGCCTTGGTATATTTTCGTTGTCGGTGGAGGAAGCCAAACCGCGCATGGGTACTGGTGGCCGACCGACCAACAAGCGGTTTCATCCCCCCGTCGTGTACCACGGATATCGCAGCCCGGGTGACTATGTCGCGGCGGAAGGGTGCATTGCGAACCCGAGCGCGTCCCATCATGGCCGATGGATGCGGTTTCGCGGCCCTTCCGAAATTCCATCGTCCGCTTGGTGTGAGACGGCTTCCACTGTTCGCGGGCGGCCCTGGGTCCGTTCAACGTAGATCTGATGGAATGTAGCGCGTCGGCATAGCGATCGCCCACCTCCGGCACCCACTTACCGTTTTCTCGCTCTTTGCCTGTGCGGGTCTCGCGGGCGTGGAGATGCTGGCGTACAACGTGGCCCTAGCGTCTGGCACAACCGTAGAGGAAGTTTTGGTCGGCCACCTTCTTAAGCACATTGATATTTACGAGTTGGGTGTCCGGTCGTACGGCATGCCGCGGTGAACACTCAGCAGGTAGCCCCGGCGGCACAGCACCCGAAGTTTTTCAATGACCTCGTTCCGATGGGTCGGTGAGTAGTGTGGTTGTGCCTCGCTGGGCGATGCTGGCATGTGAGATGGACTTCCTTGCGTGGTACGAACCTTGGACTACCGACTCGCGTTCGCTGATGTCTTCATTCTTTCTTCCGATATGGTTCCCCTACCCGTTGAGTTTTCCTTACGCCGTGACGGCTGCTCGTTTCATGCAGTCGGACGTCTCTGGGCGATACTTAACCCAGTTTCGTGCACCCTGGGCACCGCAACCTTTATTCGTCATGTGGTACTACTCCGCCCGAACGGGAACGGCCCGCCCTTCGCTCCGCCCGTTACTTTTTTTCTCCCCGCGATGCGACCAGCGTAAGTAGATCCCGACACAGAGGGCACGCTGCCCTGGACAACAACGCAAGTCTCGAATTTCACGTGAGTTCGGCTTGTAGTTCGTTTTATCCGTCTCGGCAAACCGCCTGGGCCGCAAAAACTCCGTCACTGATTATTGTCGTTCTCAACTGGCGCTGCTCCCTCGGCTCGCAAGGTAATTGGCCTTACCGTCACGTGTCGTGCCCCAACGGAGAGTCCACGCCGGCTGCCCTCGGGGTTACTGGTGCGCCACCAGGTTGAATGCGACCGGCACAACAATGCACAAGGTTTTCTAAAGTGAACATAGTCTAGCCCCGAGCGAGCATCTGGGCGAAGTGGAGGCTTACGACCCACCTATCTATGCATAACAGTTGCAGTTCAGGCGGCCTCTATGTAGTAGTCGGTGTCCTCTCACTTTTGACACTCGTCACCGAGGAGCAACACCTGTGAAACAAGCCGAGCTGATGCTAAATACACGCGCTAAGCAAACTTCTGCAGAGTATGCGACCAACGCTGGCGGCGCTCGCAGACTCGTCTATTGGCGTCACGCGCCATGTCGCACTCTACGCCCGGGCATCTATCTCACTTCGTGTGGCGTGGTCGAGTAATCTTTCGCCAAAGACGCGCCCAAGTGAGGTGATATTTTCTAGTTTCGGCAGGGCTGGTGTTCAAGTTCATCTTCGGCAGGTGCTTACAATCGTTCCCCGCCGCGCACGGTGGTCGTTTGTTATGGAGTACATCGAAATTGTCAACGGCATGGTGTGGGACATGCAGAACGGACCCGAAGACTAGAAAATGGGATCGAGACTCAGTCTTTTATTGCATCGCCACTATCGAGCGCCGATTGTTATGTTTAGTCCAGGATCCACCGCTTAGCTGGGCTTCAAAACGCTGTTTTTTCATTCTTCGTGAAAATTTGAGCCTCTGTTTCTAAACGAATTCCTTCTTTACTGCGGGCCCGTTCTGTACCGGCAGGTCACCTTTCCCGGAGGTCGACCCCGACGGCAGCAGGGGGGCGCTTTTTGCCACTCACTGCCGCCCATGACGGCCGCCTTGCAAGGGCATCTATCTATCTGCGGGCAGCAAACCTGCCTGATAGTTTAACGATACAATCCTTTCGTATCGGAGGACATTCCTTATCCGGTCACTGTCGGGGAACGCGGAAGACAAGATCACGAAACTTGGCAAGCGGAAAATGGGTGGCTGAGTGGCGTCGGGCCGACTACCAGAGACCCGGAGGGACGTTCCAAACGCAAGCTATGAAGCGGCAGGTATGTTAGTAAAGGAAATAAAGCGGTTTCACGCTGCTTCGTCGCGATTGTTTCTGCACGGCGGGTGGGCAAGTCGTTGAAGAAGAAGTTGCGTTTGGTTGCTCTTACACAACGTTGTTGAACCCCGACTTCGCTACTGTGAATAATTCCGAAGTACGTTGTGGTCCAACGGTAGGGTTCAAGTACGTTGCGGGGATCTGTTGGGCGGTACCCAAACCCCCACCTGGCATCGAAACAAAGGGATGTGTGCGAATACAACGGAGGTTGAATTAGGGCCACCAGCCGGTGGGCAGGAGGCTTCATCCAGGTGATTGACAACGGCGTTAGCAGCAACAAGTGAAACGTATCCTGTTGGATTCGCCCTGACCTTACCTAGAGCTATGTGTGGTTTATTGGTGATCCCGCCTTGGTTTTAACAAGAAACACTTTTTGATCTTGGGGCAAGAGCGTTGCCCTCTCCCGTCGGAGAGACTTCCTGGTGCGGGTGGCCATCGCCATGAAACGAAGTTGTTCCACCGAGATATCTTGGACACACTCGCGTGTGCCCTCTCTGCTATGTACCGCCGGCGGTCCGCGAATGGCTTGTTGGGGGAGTGCAGTCTTTCGCCCTCGGCACACACTGTCTGCCCTCGCAGTCCATCGCAGACAGTGCGTATTGTGCCCGCGTGCTCTTTATATCCCTTTTCTTCGCCAAGCTCAATGACAGATTTTTCACCCATTTATGTACGAATAGTACCACATCACAACGCCACACAGTAGTCAGAACGTCGTCGAGAGGCGGCTTGGATAGATGGCCTCTCCCCGAGTCAACTCCCAACGACCCGTATTGGTGGAAGCTTTGCAAAACGCGACTGGCTGCACTACGGTCGTCCATTGTGGGTGACGATACCTCACACACTACAGCAAGCTCTACCTCAAGCACTCCACGTCAAGTTCTACTTGACGCACTCTGCGCCAAGTCTATGTAATTCAACCAACAACTTTCATGATAAGGCAGGAACGATCCGCACGACGTGCCTCCATCTCTTATCACCAAGATAGTATATAGTCGCGTCTATCGTGGCCTCCTTGCGTCCCCAAAACCAACGCAGACCGCACAACAAACATACACCAACGATTATTCTTCAGACAACCCCCGCCGGCTGGAAACAACCGAGTCAGCGTTTCAAGGTGTCTGCTTTCGGGCCAAAGAACACAAGATGCAGGAGAAACATGAAACGAAACAGGCCTACCGTCAGAGTCAGTTACGAGCAACTTGCCGATTGGGTAGTCTAGGCAAGCCAAAGGACACAAGATGCAGGAGAAACATGAAACGAAACAGGCGTACTGTCGGAGTCAGTTAAGAGCAACTTTGTCGATTGGGTAGTCTAGGCAAGCACGAACGAACGATTTAGACCGGATGTTTGGCTGAGCTGAGTCCCCCGGCGAACCACTACACAACATCTAACACACACATCGCGTATCATCTAATACGCACACCACAGTTTTATTACCATGGTGTGGTATTGGTGTCCCGCTATCACTGTCTTAGGCAGAACCGAGCAGGCGGTTCAGACGGGAGTTGCTGCGCCCACGATGATATGCGTACCACGTACAATACACATCTAACACACACGTTCGAGTATCGTGGCGGCGTAGAGCTATGTCCCTGCCTAGCGATCTCTCCTACCCTTCTTCCGTGCCTCCTGGGCTCTCTCTCTACACCTCTACCCCGCAAACGTTCATCGCCCGGACACGTTTTGCAGCCTCTAAGTCAATGAAGAGTACTCGTCGCTATACTCACAACCTGTCAATACAAGTCCCGAGACAGCTTGGTAACCTCTACTGTAGAATATTACTTGAACAAGCCCAATCTTCCCAATCTCCAGAGGTCTTGAAACGACACCAATTGCGCCAAGTTTCTCCAGGATTGGTGGAGAAGAAGCGATACCATCGCCCTGTTGGTCGGCAAGCCGTGATGGGCGAGATACGCGATACGCGGCGCAACATCTGGCGAAACAAGCCAAAGGTCCAGGCAAGGTAGCGGCGGAAAAGTCCGTGGCCAGAGAAGAAGGGAAGTAATTACAACAAGGTTCGTCGATCTACACCAGAAATTTCTCGAGTCTTGGGGAAGAACCACACGAAGAAAAAATGTTTATTTTCTCTGACGTCTAGTAGTTCGCGAACCAGGGAAAAGAAAGACGACGTCAATCAGTGATCGAAGATTGCCAAGATGAACTTCTGTGGTAAATTAGAGGGAGCTTGCCCGGAGAACAAGTACAATACCTAAAACTTCGCACCCTGGGGTGCGGAAGAACGTCCGTATAGTCATTTCGAAAACACACGCGGCATTAACACCTGATACATTTGACTATGGATGCAGACCCATCCGGCTTTTCTAGCGGTTTTCGTCGAACAAACACTCATAAGACGCGCTTCGAACCCACGCGGAAATGGGGGCGGGGCTCACCTAACAGCGAGGGTAGAAACTTAGAGGATGCACGGGGCGGCCCCGGAGTCGGAGCAAAGGGTGCCAGCGGACTGGATGCTCGAGGTGCAGCACGAAGCGGCGCCGGAGCCGCGGGAGCTGCAACCCGAGCCTCCGCAAGTGTCGCAGTCGGCTTCGCAGCAGGAAGAGCCGGACGACACTCCGGCGTCGCCGGAGCACGAGAACTCCACGGGTTCCCCGTCGTTCTCGTAGACCGAGATGGCGTAGAAACCTCCGCAGATCTCGTCGGCGTCGCCGCCGCAGGGCATGTCGCAGACACCCGCGCCGTTGGCATCGTAGTCAGCGCCTTCGGCGCCGCACCAGCACTGTTGTCCGAGGTGGTTTAGTATACAGCAGGCAAGTGGTTGGCGTGAACAGAATGGAGAGCGTTTCGTCGCGACGTTGATAATACGCATGGGGTTGCAGCTTGTCGATGGAATGAGATCAGTGAAGGTGGACGCGGCAGAACTAGCGACAACAGATGACCAGAAAAAAGGGTTGCATCTCCCAATCTCGACGACCTCCTTATTATTCCCTCTTCTCGCATATCGAGGAGGATATTTGCAGCAAAAGAGAGGATGGATGAAGACTATATCTGCAGATGTGGTTCGAATGTTGCCACGAATGCATCACCAACGCATGGGTGGGCGGAGTCTGTGTGCTTGGTATATGTATGCGACCCATCACCCGAGGCGTTCTTAATACAAGCAGCTTGTTTCGTCGCTGTCGCATGGATAAGCACAGCAACTGAGAATTGTTGTCCAAAAGATAGAAAAACTCAGCTCGGCATGGCGGTGTGTCAGTTCTGGGAAAGGTTGTTGAAAAATCGTGTTCCGTTTGGTTGTCAAGGCCTCCCGGCTATGTAGGTTGTGGCGTGACAAGATCATTCACAACATTCTTCGCCGTGGTGGCACAGCTAGACCACGACGAACGTTTCCTCTTTTGCCTGTTGTTGACCTGCACGTGTATCATACTGCCGCTCAAGCCGTTCCGAACCACAGCAATAAATTACGGCCGTTTCAAAGCGTACCTTCAGGAGCGAACCTGTACCACACGGCATGACCACCAGCCACCACATGTCAATAAATATCCTCCGGGGTTTCAAAACACGCGATTCGCATGTCACATTACGCTGCACGAGGTCTTACCTCCGTCGAGTACTGCGTTCCGTAGTATGCCGAGCCGGTGCAGGCCTCTGAGCAGATCTGTGGTCGTCCATTCCAGGGCGTGTGCCCAACGAGGTTGATGTTCGGGCAGGGGGAAGGGCACCGCAACGGGCACGTGGACACGTGAATCGTAAGGTGGTGGCGGCGTGTTGGTTCCGCCAAGGTTCCGTGATCTTTGGATTCTCTGCGCGGTGTCGACACACCGCAAGACGGCAACATCTCAAGAGGCAGCGTTAAGTCCAGTGCATCCCGAGAACGGACAAATACGTAGTATTAATATTATAGTATGTTGATGTCATCACATGGACAAGATCATGATATCGCGCGTCCTCTTCCCTAGCATACAAAGGCCAGGGGGCCTTATGTCACGTTCACCAGCTCACCTGACCTAACCAAGTGACACAGAACAAATTTCCGTGAGAAACATGAAACGAGTAGCGAATGAGAGGCACTCGCCTTACCAAACAACCTTTGAAAATTCCCCCGGTCGGTTGCTCACCTCCGCGGTCATGGCAGCAGAGGATATATTCTGCACGAACACGCGGCTGTCGGCCGGGTCGGAGTAACAACCCAGGTAGGAGGGATCCTCGGTTTCCCCGCCGTCCACGTCGTCGGTTTCGCCGCCGTCCACGTCGTTCTCGTAGACCGACATTGCGTAGACACCTCCGCAGATCTCGTCGGCGTCGCCACCGCAGGGCATGTCGCAGACACCCGCGCCGTTGGCATCGTAGTCGGCACCTTCGGCGCCACACCAGCACTGTTTTTCGTAGATGCAGCAGCAGTGGGTGACGTTCCCGCAAAGGAGTGGTACAAAATGAGGGAGAGTCGGTGGTGTGCGCACAACGGAGCGTGTTTCGTCGACACGTGGGAGGCGTGCACAGTGTGCTGTTTCTGGATGAAGTGTCGTGGGTCGTAGGTGAGACCGCAGAGTAGATAGTACCACCAAAGTCAATTAATGAAGATATACTATGAAGGTGTGGAAATGGACGAAAAAAGGGTCAAATCTCCCCAGCGCCTTTGTGGAACGATTCTCTCTTCTCGAATAGAGGAGGTTATGAGCGGGAAACATGAACGGCGGAAGGCTCTTGTCTGCCCGTGTTGTGCGAACGTGTCGACGACTGGATCACCACGTCGCGGGTGAACGACGTTAGTGTGCTCGGTGGTGTGCATGCAACCTAAGGCTTGAGCACTAACACGGTCCTGTACATGGTTGTCCGACGGACGACAGTATTGTAGCGAAATCCCTGAGGCGTGCGGTCTAGAGGAGGGAACGATAGATCAACCACCGAAGGCACCCTCAGGAGCTTCGAAGTCGGAAATCCAGCTCTCACTCTTGGCGACGGGTACCGATAGCAGAAGAGAACGAACGAATGAACGCCCCGTATCGGTGAGGATGAGTCATACGGCGATTTTTTATATCTACCTGCTGAACCAAGGTCGAAAGTATGTCCAATTCGTAGCGCACCTAAAGCGAAGGCCAACAGGATCGGAACACCAACCGCTTCACACGACACGCATCTCAGATCGCGTTGTGGGGGTCTCACCTCCGTCGAGTACTGCGTTCCGTAGTACGCCGAGCCAGCGCAGGCCTCGGAGCAGGCCTATGGTCGTTTGGTCAAGGGTGTGTGTCCAATGCGGACGAGTATTCGAGGGAAAGGGGCAGTAGCAGGCACGTAGTCATGGAAAAGCACGTTTATCGCTAGTTGAATCGGTGGCGGCGTGATAAGTTCACGGTTTCAAACGCTTCGTCGTCACCCGGCGCGTTGCGACACTGCTACATGTATATAATAACGATATACGAGGCAGCGTCAAGTCGAGCGTATCTCGACAACAGACAACAGGTATTTTTTGCTGTCGCTGTTGGATAGTTGTGTTCACATGAGCAACCCGATCTGACCAAGTGTATCATACCTGCTCTTCCCTAGTCTACAGAGGCAAGGACGACATCCACCATCGTCATCAGCTCACCCAGCCTAAGAAACACGCGACGAGGTGGGATCCAAACTCAATCGCTTTAACCAAACAGCAGCCTTCGAAAACTCCCCGGAAGGTTGCTCACCTCCGCGGTCATGGCAGCAGAGGATATATTCTGCACGAACACGCGGCTGTCGGCCGGGTCGGAGTAACACCCCAGGTAGGAGGGATCCTCGGTTTCCCCGCCGTCCACGTCGTCGGTTTCGCCGCCGTCCACGTCGTTCTCGTAGACCGACATTGCGTAGACACCTCCGCAGATCTCGTCGGCGTCGCCACCGCAGGGCATGTCGCAGACACCCGCGCCGTTGGCATCGTAGTCGGCACCTTCGGCGCCACACCAGCACTGTTTTTCGTAGATGCAGCAGCAGTGGGTGACGTTCCCGCAAAGGAGTGGTACAAAATGAGGGAGAGTCGGTGGTGCGCGCGCAGCGGAGGGTGTTTCGTCGACACGTGGGAGGCGTGCACAGTGTGCTGTTTCTGGATGATTTTGGTGTACCGTTTGTCGCTGGAAGGCGGGCTCTTCCTCTTCTTGGAATCATNCGCGCGCAGCGGAGGGTGTTTCGTCGACACGTGGGAGGCGTGCACAGTGTGCTGTTTCTGGATGATTTTGGTGTACCGTTTGTCGCTGGAAGGCGGGCTCTTCCTCTTCTTGGAATCATTCGCGGGACGAGACAAACTCCCCCAGCTGCTATCCTCCTTGCTGTCTTTTGTCTCTTTGCCTTCGTTGCTCTTACGTTCCTCCTCCCTCTGCTTGTTGAACGCTTGCTCGAAAACCTTATCCATCTCAGTTTCATCATTCTTTGTGTGTCTGGTGTGTGGACCATCATTATTTTGCACAACCTCCGCGGGGGGGGGCTCCCCCCCCGGGTAGCGTTGGAAGAAAAACCAACCAACCCAAGTACGTCAATTTCACCCCGGGGGGTTTGGTTTCAGAAAAAATAACGATCCCCTCCCCGGGGGGAGACCTCCGACGTTTACGGTATCCCCAGCGTCTTTGTGCGACGATTCTCTCTTCTCGAATAGAGGAGGTTATGAGCGGGGAACATGGACGACGGAAGGCTCTTGTTTGCTGGTGTTGTACGAACGTGTGGACGACTGTATCACCACGTCGTGGGTGGTGTTCTCGGTCGTGTGAATGCGACTCAAAGGCTTGAGCACTAACACGGCCCTGTTCATGGTTGTCCGACGGAGTATTGTAGCGAATCCTGAGAGCTGTGGTCTAGAGGAGGGAATTATAGATCAACCACCGAAGGCAACCCAACGAGCCTCGAAGTCGGAAAGCTAGCTCACGACGACTGTTTGACTCTCTTGGCGATGGGTATAGACTAGGCAACAGCAAACGAATGAATTAACTATCGTTGAACATGATGAGTCATACGGCGATTTTTCAAACCCTATGTCCTTTTTATAGCGCGAAGACCTACCCCACCGGATCATCGCTTCACACGACACGCATCTTAGTTCGCGTTGTGCGGGTCTTACCTCCGTCGAGTATTGCGTTCCGTAGTACGCCGAGCTGGCGCAGGCCTCCGAGCAGACCTATGGTGGTTTCATCAAGAGCGTGCGTCCAACGCGGACGATAGTTGCGGTAAGAGGGAAAGGGACAGTAGCAGGCACGTATTTTGGGCATGGAACAACACGGTTATCGCGTGTTGAGTCGGTGGTGCGTGATGGGTTGACGACGTTTTCTAAATTTTCGTCGTCACCTGCGCAATGTCAGCACGGCTAGACACAATCTTACATGAGGCAGCGTCAAGTCGAGTGCATCCCGACAATGGGTGTGTTTGTTTGTATTGCTGTTACTGTTGGATGTGTTCACATGAGCAACCCGATCTGACCAAGTGTATCATACCTGCTCTTCCCTTGTCTACAGAGGCAAGGACGACATCCACCGTCGTCATCAGCTCGCCCAGCCTAAGAAACACGCGACGAGATGGGATCCAAACTCAATCGCTTTAACCAAACAGCAGCCTTCGAAAACTCCCCGGTCGGTTTCTCACCTCCGCGGTCATGGCAGCAGAGGATATGTCCTGCACGAACACGCGGTTGTCGGCCGGGTCGGAGTAGCACCCCACGTAGGAGGGGTCATCGATTTCCCCGCCGTCCACGTCGTCGGTTTCCCCATCGTCGCTGTTGATCTCGTAGACCGACATGGCGTTGTAACCTCCGCAGATCTCGTCGGTATCGCCCGTGCAGCGCATGGTGCAGTCGCCCCCGCCGTTGGCATCGTAGTCGGCACCTTCGGCGCCGCACCAGCACTATTGTCGGGGGAAGAGCAAACGGGACAGCCGTGTGTAGGTGGAGTGTAGAGGGTACAGGAAAAGGGTGGCCAGAGTCGATTTTTCGAAGCTTAGTCTGCATGTTGATTGTAACGCGTCTGGCAGGTCTGGGTGGTGATGGTGGAACGACGGACGAACACGTAGACAAACACTGACTTATCTTTGATACACAACATCAAAGAAAACCGCCCGCTTGTCCATTCGCACGCCACCGTTGTACTTGGCTCTGCTCGCCCAATATCTTTGGTTGCCCTTCCAAAAGTATTAAAGCGATCCCATATTTTCCATGCGTCTCTCTTGAGTGAATACATGACGGCGAGACTAACGAGCTCGCAATCAATACACAGACAAAAGCCGTTCGCAATAATCAATTCGAAAAACTCCCGTGAATCCATGCGACAGTCGAACTGCTTATCGTTCACTACGGTTGTTGAACAACGCATCTGTGTTGCGTTCCTTCGTCAAACTTCTACGTAGGCACCTCACCTCTTCCGAGTACTGCGTCCCGTAGTAAGCCGAGTCGGCGCAGAGCGCCAAGCAGGCCTGTGGTCATTCGTATCGCGTGTACGGTCCATCCAAACCATGGCGATGGTCCGGACAAGGGAAGGAAGAGAGAGGGACGTGGTCACCAGCGGGACGGAAACGCCGTGTGTGGCGGTGGCGCGTCGGCGGTGTCGACGGTTACAAGGGTAGAGTTTCGGTGCAAGAACAGCCGCACGACATCGCCAGCAACGGCAGCAGCGGCTGTCAATACCCCCAGACCGCCACGGTAAGAGATACCATCTACCATGTTAACTTCATATTACGAATGCGGGAAACAACGACCAAAATCAACCTCCTCAACATAAATCCCCAAAAAACGACGCTGAAAGCGATTCTGCTCTTTGCATCCGTCGGCGGCACTCACATCCGCGGTCATTGTGTAAGTGGCAGCCTCGAACGTGAAAATACGGGAACCTGGCAGGTCCGAGAAGCACCCGAGGTAAGAGGAACCCACAGGCTCGGTCTCGGTCTCCGTCTCAGTCTCGGTGGACACGTCATCGTCGACGTCGCCTGCAAGGATTTCGCGGGGTGCAAGATGTCCTTTATTTTCTCGCAATAGATACTACTGCTGGTTGCATTAGTAATCACCCACTGGACCGATTTTCGGAGTTGGAGGGTTGAACTGCAAACGATGGCATCATCGTTGGAACCACCTTGTTGAGGGCTTTTCGAAGACGAGCGGAATCTCACGCAATCCACGGCAGGCACTACTCGCATCAACCCAAAGCATTTTGCTGCAGAGGGTAGTAACTCAAGTGCCGTTGAAAGTACAGTGGTGCTGACACGCAACGGGAAAAGTCGGTGTAGTAGGCAGGTTAATGTCTATGGAAGAGCACGGCGTTTATTGTAGCCGAACGGGTGAAGTATGCAGCTAGCCCGATGGGAGTGAGTTCTTTGGAGACGTTTCCTCACACCTTGTGTCCCCAAAATTGAAATCTAAAATACCCAAAACAAAACACTAAAACAAACAGCTGTATTTATCGGGGCCCCCCTGTATAAGGCCGGTTATGGCCCTCCGCCTGGCCCCAATAAGGCCGGTCTTATTAGGCTATAGACAGAAATGGTCGTCGTTGTCTGCCGTTTAACTGGAAAATAGACTACGCACCCTCGAATTTTTGAATTTTCGATTAGAAGGCTACAGGAACGTATTCGATACAGACGTTTCTATCCTGCCCTGATCTCTATCGTTTACATGGTCATGCGGGCTATGTGATGGACCAGGCTTCGTCCCGTGCGGCGAACGGCGTGTCTAGCGTCACTCACTGTGGATGGATACGGAAAACGTTCACAAACGATATCGGCTGCCCCTCGTTACCACCTTCTCACCGATGCAAGGCGCAGCGCCTGAGTCCGCGCACAGGATGCCGTTCGATGCGATGTTTGAAGTACAGCAATCTGAAGTTTTACGAGAAGAAGACAGAAGACAGGCAGGCAGGGGGGGGGGGGGGG